CACTGCCTGGCTGGATTATGCAAGTTATTTGAAGTTAATTGCTCAAAGTTAGGTGTTAGTTAAAATAGTGACAAAGTAAGCGTGAAACATTGGAATACATATGCATTCAAAAATATGAAGAGTTATCATTCTTTTGAGTGGATTTCATTGGATAACGTGGGCTTAAGGGATAGAAGGACTTGCGTTCCAACTAACTGAGTTACTTCTCCTGGCTTTGCTGTAGCTCTTTGAGTGGAAGCTGTCCTACTAGTGAGGCAGCTTTCCTGACTACAGTGGTTCAGCTAAGGTAATCATGAAAGAATCAGTTTGGGAAGGGACATTGTCCTGAGACAAATGTAGGCTATATACTTGAAAAAAGAGAGGAGTCAGAGAATTGCAGACCCATCTAACTTGTATAACCAGAAAGATCCTCAAGCAAGTTATTAATTTGCCTTGTTAGCACCTGGAGCCATAGTTCTCAGTCTACATCTGTTTGTGGATAAACCCTCTAAGTACATAATGTGCTGTAGTCCCTTGCTTTTCCAGACAACTTGAATTATATCACTGGTGGCTTTCTTTAGCCACAAGCAACAGAGCTGCTGACCTAATCACTCTATAAAGGAGTACCGAGTTCATCCTTGGCACCACACTTAAGAAATGTGGATGGGCTAGGAAGAACCAGCAAGAAGAAAGCTGTTTAGAAAATAAAGGGCCTGAGTAAAAGTCGAAGAAAACTTTTTAGCTTAGAAAAGAGGAGATTAAGACGGGACATCTTTAGTTAAAAGTTTTCTATAGCTAACGTGACGGTCATTTGGCTGTGTAGCCAGTGTTGGGGCAAAAAAGATGGGGGGTGGGTCTCATGTTGCAGCAAGGAATATTTAGAAAAGAAATGCAGGAGAACTTTAGCACCATACAGATAATGAAGCCCTAAAATCCTTGTAGTTTTTACAGTTTTTGTTTTTTAGATAAAACATGGTAGACAAATGTTTGCCAAGGCAGCTTAGGTGCATTCACCCTTTCTTAGTGACGTGGAACCAAATGATCTCCTGACATTTCTTCCAGCCCTCTATTTCTGTGCAAGTGCTTTGAAATTTATTGATGAAAAACGCTCTCCCCAAAATGGGTAGTCCTGTTCACTATACTACTTCTTAGCGTAGTTACAAAGGAAAACTCTTAACTCCAAAATTGGTTCTTTCTGCTCATTCTCTGGTCAGCTTTCCTCCTCAGGCCTTGGCGCTAGGCATTGGCACAGCAGGCTGAAAGTGTCACTAGCTGTTTAAACAGAGTAGTGTTTGATTAGAAGATCAAGAAAGGAAACGAGGAGGCTTTTATGATGACATTTCTATTAGGGAATTCTCCCAATGTTTCAGTATTTCCTAATGGCGAGTATTTTTGGTATTAATTTCCTTAAGAAGTTCTCCTCAGAGTGATTGATTTTTGAGCTGCCTGCTGTGGTCCCTGTTACTGGATAATACCTTTGTGTTGGACAATGTAGTGATGTTATCTCAGCTGATCACAGAGGTAGGATGGATTTGCCTCTTTTTTCAACAGCCTTTTATCAGTTTTCCCGTGTCTTGAAGTATAAATTATTGTAGGCTGAGGTATATCTCTCATATGCTCTAAGTGTTGCTTGCCTCTGTGGGAAGATGTATTATATATGCAATCTGTATCTAAAGAAAACCCACTTCACAACATCAGCGTCTCAAGTTGTGGATACCTTTCACGTATGTGAAAAATACAACGCTGGCATTGCAAAACATAGATAAGCCAAAGCCACAGTGCTCCTCATTCAGATCCCCTCTATCTGACTGACACAGCTTACCTCTCAGTTGTGCTTTACCACTAAACAGAAGATCCCTTGCAACTGTGCAAGTCTGTCACTTTATGCCTAGATATTTGGAACTTGCAATACATCTGGGAAGCAAAAAAAAAGAAAAACAACACACTGGGAAGCATTTCAGATCTTGAAGGAGTTGAACGCTTCAAACAGATGGCTTCTTTCCAGAGAAAGCTCTTCCAGCTTTCAGAAATGCTCCTCATAAAATTTGACCTAGCTGTTAGGGGTAGTATATGACTAAGTAAGGGGGGTGGGGAGAGGAGTGATATTAAACTTGTAGAAAATAGCGTTGGGTACCTTGAGCAGTAAAATCCTTTGATCTCATTGCAATCTCTAATTTCCTGATTGTGGCTGAATGTATGAATGATGGACAGAGTTTCTGTATTCTCACTCAGGTGGTAAAGGAAGTGTTTTTTTTTTTTTTTTTTTTAGTTTTCACTGAAATGAGGCCTTGTTAATCTGAATTGAGATTGAAAATACCAGAGCATTGCTCCTGTATGTTGTAATTTATGTGAATGAATCTGTTTTATAATACCTGCGTTACGAACTAGTACATAAGTGGAGTATGAGAAATATTATCTAAACCAAGCCCTTAATTAAAGGAGGGCATTTGTTATTGTCTTTCAGTATGGGCTGTTCACCTTCAGGGACACCAGTTTCCTTGCAATGAAGTTAGTATTTTAACACCATTCAAGGTTTTATGCGTTAAAATATGGGACTGTATACATTTAAATGCAGTCATGGTAACTACTATAGGGACTTCGGAAGAGGATGCATGGGAAAAGTGCTGTGTTGATAATGATTTGTTCAGCACAGCAATAAGGATTTGTTTATATTGGTCACCACCGTCCAGACATTATCTTCCTATTCAGGATTGCCTGCAGAAAGTAATATTGGGTAGATATTTGCACACAGAACCTCTGTATTATGATGCCTTCTGGTATGATGAAGATACTAGAGACAAGAAAAAGGATGAAGTATTTGGTAAATCAGTTCTTGTGGACAAAAGAACCTTGAGGTACTGCAGAGAACTCCAGTTTCTGCCAAATAATCCAAAATCAGTTTCCCTGGACTCTTCTCTAACCAACTCAGCTTTGAGAAGAACCTATTTCGGAGCAGATGAGAACTGAAGTTCAGAGAAGGTTCTTTAGAAGAACCTAAAAGCCTATTTCAGTATGTCCAGAATGGCTAGTGAAAGAGAATTACCTTCATTTATCTAAATAGGCTGGCAGATGTATTTTGAAGTCATTCACCCTCCTAGACATGTGACATCATAGACTTGAACACTTTTTAAAGTAATTTACTTTGTATTTTTGTCTTAAGAAAACCCTGCTGCTTTAAATTAATATCAAGATACCTAGCAAATATATTTTGTCATTGTTTTTGCAGCAGTACAAGTATTTTTCCAGGATATTTTTGACTAAACTTAATATTCACAAAAAAGAGAGTAGAAATAGTCCTGTTTCCAACATAGATGCTGTTTATTTACCTGCATTTTGTACAGCAGCCCAGGTTCACACTTGTCAACGAGGCGAGTTTGTTTTCATCACTTCAGTGACGTGATTCAGTGCTCATGGGGACTGCGTGGGCCTGACAAACTCTTACTCTTTTCCCTCCTGGTTCAGAGCTGCTGCTCAAAAGTTCTGCCAACGTCTGCAGCAGTTGGGTGCTCAGAGGTAGGGAGGACACAAGCAACGCTGGAACATTTTTACAATTATTGAGCCGTTGACCTTTGAGGGAAATACTTTGAATGCTGTTATGGCTCTGGTGGCCAGGCGGCAGGTATATTACATGAGCATGGCCAGTAGACAAACTAATTTCAATAGATACATTTCCAGTAACTGAAAATTAATGAAGAAGCTATTCAGCTAATGACTTTTCACTACAAAATGCAAAAGTTACCAGGTGAGAGTGTTTTTGACTTCTGAAGATGGTTGTCCTTCCTGTAGCAGTGACCTCTTCTAAGAAAGAGCTTTTCTTGAGAAAACCCTTAGTGTACAAATGGAGTTGGTTGTGACTCGCCCCTTGTGATGTCCCCCTTGCTGACCAGGCTATACGGGTTGTCACATCGTCTCGTGTTTGCCATGAATTCTGCACCATGAGCTCCAACAGGCCGCAGCTCTGCTGTCTTTCTTAAATTGCCTTGATTTTTTCCTGAGCCACACAAAAGATAGAGAATATACCACTGTTGTCTGCAAGGCTTTTTTTTTTTTTTTCCCCTCCTAATTAAAAATCAGACTGTATTTTTAGCGTTTGTGTTGGGTTTTGTTGCGCTTGCGAAGCGTGCCAACTGCCCCAGTGAGCTGCAACCCCATGGCAGCTGAGGTGTCCATGTTTGGTCATGCACCCTAAAGTTTTTGGCAATAACCCTTTTCACATCCTAAAGGAGGATATTCTGCTGTCATTTGTACCAGAGAGGGGCTCAACGTGCGCTCAGTAATTAGAACTCTGGCACGTGTTAATACATAGAGTTCGTAGAGACGCACAGGGCCTCGGAGGCCCGAGCGAGGGTGTCTTCCCTGTTAAGTTGTTGGAATGAATGTGAGAAGTTGTTCCTTTGGCAGATACCAAGGAACCCCCTAATGGCACCGGGCTGGGGCAAAGGACTTACTACTGAGAGAAAAGCACGTGGAAACCAGATTAAGTAAATCGCCCTTCTCTGGTGTTCCACCTTGGATTGTGCAAACAAAGTCCGGTCAAGCCCGACCCACATTTTCTGGCAATATTCACTGAAATCCCAGACTACAGCCATGCTCCTTTGTTGAACTTGGGATCCCCCTAAGGCCACAGACCTGGAGAGTCACTGCTGCCCTGAGGCTTCCTGTGCCAACTCCAGACCCAGGGAGGAAGGGATGAGGGGACAGCAGGGGGAAAAGAAATCTGAACATGCCTCATCTCCTCCTCCCTCTAACCCTAAATAAGTTAACAACTGAAAAACAAAAAATCCAGCGTGGCCTGCGTGTCAGAGCCTCACATTTAATCCCGATTCGGCTGCATGGCATCTGATTGCCCTTCAGCCGGGAGAGTCTCCCTGGGCCAACCCTGGCAGGGATTTACCCTTGGCTGAGGGTCTCTCCCTAGGAAAGAGGAGGTTGCTGCCTCTGGAGAGGAAAGCCCCCAAGTTAATAGTAACACCAGCCAGGGAAGCAGTGTTCTGTACAAATCTTTTCTCTCTGTTCCCCAGGAGGTCGTGGAGTGGCTACAAGTGCTTGACCTTAATCGGAAAAGGAGCCTGTGGGCATCCTCATTGGAAACGATGACACCTGGAGCGTTACCAGGTGGGTGGGGATTTCCAAAGGCACATTCAGGTTTAACATCAGAGCACACAGCTCCAGCTCCAGGGCAAGAGACCGATCTCCTCTGGGCTGGTGTCTGCTCTGAATTCTCCCTGCTGTCTGTGAGATCACAATTTCTTGTAAATGTTTTTACTAATCGGTCTGGCAAAATCCTAAGATTTCCTGTGTCTTTCTTCGATGCTCGGAATACTCAGTTCATGACCTATTTGTTAAAAATAATGGAAATTGGGATTTCTGAGGACTGGATGTTTTGTTTAGTGAGTAAAAAACCCATTAGGATTTGTATTTCATTTATCTGCTATGACCTTTCCTTGTGATATAGTGTTATGGCTGAATTCCAGAAATGAAATTTCTGATGGGAGAGTTTCATTTTTAGGTTTAAAATCATTTTAATGCCAGCTTGAAGTTGCTCACTGGTACTGCTTCTGCCACTGTAACAAAGATTGCAATGTACGTCTCCTCTTTGTTTACTTACAGAAGGCATTTAAATCCATTCTTCCTAATTGAATTTAACATGAGAGACAGAAAATCAGCAATGTGCAAAGCCTGAGAAACCCAATGGTACAGTGGACTCTTTTCCTTGCTTTTTAGAGACTGTTAATATTGTTGGGTGTATTAAAAATCTTCCTTACTATTGGCAAATTATTTGAAGCGGTTAATAGTGCACTAAGAAAAGTTTGCGTGAAATCAACAGGAAAATTTCTGTGGGGCGAGGATATTCCTCCCTATTTTTTTAATCTCTTGGCTTTTGTGTAGGGTTATCTGTTATGCAATGTTTTGATCATGGGCCACGTCCACTGTTAATGTCCCTGCTGGGGGAAGGCTGCCAGCGTCAGCCAGCTGAAGATCTGCTGCAGGGTGTACCTGCTGTAAACAAAGTTACCAGGATGAAAAACTGAGCATGGGAAGCTTGTGATTCTGTTGACCCTTTCAAAAATGCAATATATGGCGTCCCTTAGAAATCATGAGAAGCAATCAGAGGAATGTGTTACAAATCTGGTATTTACGTTCAGGCCATCACTTGGCTGTGTATGATGCTGGTTGGGATTAAAGACCCTGGTATTAAGAGCAGACTGCAGTAAAACCTTGGAGATTTTTCATTGACTTTTCAGAGAAAATCTGAAAATGTATCAGAAAATTAATTAGATGTAAGTAATTAGAATAAAAATCTGTCAGACCCTATTAGCTGGGTTGGGTTTGTGACACAACAGAAGAATGTTTTCATGCTTACCTGCTATTTTCAATGCCTTTTTTCCCCAAAATACACTTTGAGTTGAAACTGAACATATGCATTTTCTGTTAAGAAGTAAATGCCTCCGGAGAAAATGTGTTTTGATGTTGGTTTGCTTGATATTTTGAAATTTCAGGAGCATATAAATGCTCATTTGAACCAGCTGAGACTTACAGTATTTCTGAGTGAGTTGAGTGTAAAAGGTCCCCACCCAAGGTAAGCTGCTGGAGAAACAAGCTTGTGGTGTCGTCTGCAGCAATGTGCAAAGCCTGAGAAACCCAATGGTACAGTGGACTCTTTTCCTTGCTTTTTAGAGACTGTTAATATTGTTGGGTGTATTAAAAATCTTCCTTACTATTGGCAAATTATTTGAAGCGGTTAATAGTGCACTAAGAAAAGTTTGCGTGAAATCAACAGGAAAATTTCTGTGGGGCGAGGTAAGCTGCTGGAGAAACAAGCTTGTGGTGTCGTCTGGTTTACGAGTGGCACAGGACAGTGCATGTTGCAGTGGTTGTGGGGTACCCGCTTAAAATGCACTTCACAGAAGTGAACTTGTGAATTCAGTGGGAGGCATCTAATGTGACTGGGAGGACACGCGTGGGAGAAGAGTGGGGCTGGCTCCTTTTCCCCCAGAAGACCCCTGGGGACTGCAATGCCTTCTCTCTCCAGGTGTCACGGGTACAAAGCACCTCGCAGAGGTGAAAGGCCTGATGGCTTCGGGTGCTGAAGTTTCTTATGGATCATGACTGAACAGGGAGTTTGGATGCCAGATGCAGGCGCTGGCATTCTTGTTGGGCCAAGCAGCTACTCTTCACGATGCCTGGATTCCAAGCTTCAAATGTCACCCCCAACACTAACTGCATGACAGATTTTCAGGCCTGTGGTTGCAGAAGAGACTTTCTAACCAAAGGGACTGTGCCATGATTGCTCACGACAGAATATTCTGCACTTTTCTCTGAGGCATCTATTAATGGGTAGGAGGCTGATGAACTGTGTGTTTGATGTACAGGGGCACTCTCCATATTTTTGTGTTTCCGAGACATTCACTTGCACAGTCCCACAGGTTGCTTCTCCCATGTTAGTCAGAAAAAGCGTACAGACTTCTATCAGCTTAACAGTCAAATGTTAACAGTAATTAACAGAACTCAGAGCATAAAATATTACAATCATTCATTTTAATAACACGTTTATTAGGTCATAACAACAACTATAAACATAAGTACCATTCAGCTCTTTTGCAGATATATGAACTTACTAACATCAAATCTTTACCAGAATCACGTATTCTTACAGGTGTCCCAGACACAACATTAACTTTATTAAGCAAAAGTTCATAAATAGTAAAAATGTCCTCTGTTTCACATTGCAGCGTTCCTCAAGCATGTATGTACAAGTTTGGAGTATCTTCTCCAAATCTGTGTGTCATAAACTTCCTTAGCTGTTTTAACAACCAGAGAGATGATTTTTTTTTTTTTGCCTGCAGCAAAGCCTTTTGTCCTTGAGCAATCACAATTAGTATTGCTCTCAGCAGACATGAAAGTTCGTTTCTGAAATGAAAGTGGCGATGAAACACAATACAATATTATCTGCTCGTAGTTTGCCTACACGCTCTGCCCTCATTATAAATCTTGCAGTTATAACACTGTCTCCCAAGAACAATATATCTCCCTTATATCGGTTCTTTATCTGCACTACCTCTCTTTGAAGATCTTAAAATGCTTGGCTTGCAGCAACGGAGATATTTTACCCAGGGTGGAGTGTGTTTACAGTCAGTTCTTTTCCTTTGTAATATTTACACAGTATTTTTTGTAAGGTTGCTACAATTTATGAATCATGTAAGTTGACAGACATTTTCTGAAATGTTCACAGTGCAGTATTTTGTGGCCTAACCAAACTTTGTAAATGTCATTAAAAATAAACTTTTTTTTTTTTTAATATAAAAATAGAATACTTTATGTGTTTACACCAACAAACCCAGTTCTATCCTATACTAAACAAGCTATACAGTAGTATGCACAGAATTCCACAGGAACAGAAATGACATGTGATGCTTGCCCTAAAGCTATAGTACTCTTCCCTAATGAATGCAAGTTTTATTTACTATCTCTTTTCGGAATTGGTAGTAATTTAGACATGAAAGTAGGTATCACAATTCACTGGGCTGTGCGATCCAAGGAGAGGCTGGAGGGGGTGGAGCTAGAGCTGTTTCTTCTTTTGATAAATCTTCTCAGTTATGGACATTCCTGCTATGGCACAGTCTTTCTAAGTCAGGGCTGGCTGCGATGCCTCCGCTCCTCGCTCCTCACTCACCTTTGGCAGCAGCTCCACGGGAGGGGAGGTGGCAGAGCTTCGGCTCCTCGCTGTGTGACTCGCAGCTCCGTAAGGCTGCCAGCCAGCCTGGCCTGTCTCCTCTTCCTTGCTAGAATAATGCAGCCCCACAGCCCAGGGATTAGCCTGGCATTTCATGTGGATGCCTTCAAGTTCTCGTTCTCAGAGAGCGGTTAAATTCTTCATCGAAAGAAATGGAGGCTTTGCATTTTTCAGCAAGAGATCCTGTCGATATAGGCTTTGTTACTTAAAGAAGTGGTGGAATGTTGGAATAAAGTTGACACTAGATATGCTTTAAGCTAGATGATTTTCTCTTCATTTTATGTACCGTCTGACGACACCAGAGGACTGGCAAGGCTGACATACTTATTTTACCGCACACCGTCTTTTGATGTTGATGTCTGTTAAGACACTTACCATGGGGCTGGCTCTCTTGGCTGGCTATTTTTAAAGAAACCTGGTTGATGTAGTGCAAAAATCTGAAGTTTGGGCTGTGTGGGAGGAAAATACGTTTTCAACTCTTGTAACTCTCCTTGTTTGTCTTTGCCTTTTGTGTGAAAACCATTTCTGCACTGCTCATTATCCTAAAGTACATGCAACAGTAACAGTCCTTCCAGCCGGACTGATTGGTGTTCTGCTTTCTCCTTCATGGCATTAATGATGGATCTTTGTTCTTGGGTCTGAGCACACATTAATGAGAGCTAGTGGGAACTAGCTCTGGATGGTAGCACACAACATTTCCATTTGGTAAATTGATGCAGTTGTCCAAATACTCAGAAATTACTGTGATGGTTTTATAGAATCCCATAGCCTTAAACAATACGATATCATGTCCTTGTACTAGTGCAACTCGGGCAACAACATAAACATGTGCAACAGTGTTCTCACAAAGACCGGGCAGTAAAAACTAGTGGGCAAAATGTTTTGCTTTTTGTTCATACAAGAATGGATTTTCCTCTATTTCAGACATACCCGTCATGTGTCAACATCCATGTCTGTGTTGTCTTGTGATGATAAAAGAGAAGGATAGGGAGCAATGCACTTCACGTTGACATAAGTAGCATTGACATGAACGTAGTGTTCCCCAATAAAAGTGGAGAAGATTGTTGATATTTTTGAAACAAGTTCAGAAAATGCTGGACGCATCTCAGGTTTTGGATGCCAGCACTTCAACATGACTTCATACCTGCCATTCAAATAAAAGAAGTGTTCAATTATGAAATCATATAAAAAGGAAAAAATCCCCTTTTCCCCCCCACAGTCTCATGTACTATAGTATCAGAATCAGCAGCATTTGCAGAAGGCTTTGCAAATTATTTACTTACAGTGGATCAGGGCAGTACTCAGGTTGTAGCAGCCTTCTTCCTTGTAATAAGTAAACAGTTATATCAAAAGAATTTACATCAGGATAAGGTGGTGCCCCTCTTGTCATAAGTTCCCATAACAGCACACCA